ATATTACACAGGATCCTATATGGGTATTCTGCAATTGATACATCATTGTTTATATATCAACTGGTATGTAGCCCACATGTAAAATAAACAGCTGGGCTGCTGTACATCGAATGACCAGCAGATGTCAGTACTTCCAAATGAGCTATTCAATGAGCTTCATCACACCATCAGTAATGGGCAGCATTCATAACCTGTCTACATCTTCCATTTTTGTGATTGTGGATACATTACTGGCATGAATTATTATCCATAAAATTGTAATCTCTCTATAAGATTAAAGTCAACCTTCAAACAAATTTCAAAGAAAGCTAAATAAAAACAAGTTTATGAGACTTTCATATATGTACGGACACATTTGTACGTGAATGTTTACCAACAGACCCTCAAAATGTCAGCTCGTGCAAAAAAAGAGGCATAGGCTGCAAAATGTATATTTACAGAATTCAAAGGAAAGACTTTGTGCTTAGTTTGTGATGCACAGGTCACTGTGTTCAAGAACCACCATTTAAAGGTTATCAAACATGCAAAAAATACAAGAACTTGTCTGATAGAGACAAACTGCAGAACCAACAAGGACTTTTTTTAAACAAAACTTCATGCACCAGGATGCAGCTGCCAAGAAAAGTTATTTCATATCCCACAAAATTACTATTAACAGTAAATCGTTTTCTGATGGAGACTTTATCGAAGTGTTTGGTGAACTCTCATAAGTCCCAAAACACGTCTTTTTTTTTTTTTTTTACTAAAAGAGAAAAGTAAACTAAAACATAGAGGAAACACATATTTCCTCTTAAATGGTGCCACATTTTTAAGGAAAATGCAGTTGTGAGTTGAGCAGCAGAGATTAATATTAATTGCACCCATTCTTTAAAAAAACAAACAAAACACAAACAAAAAAAACTTGCCAAATCTTCTCTGCCAATGCTAAACAGCTTTTTCTGCTACTGACTTTTATTTTGAGCCTCTGTTGACAGTTGGATGCCTGACTATTTCCTCCTTAGCAGCACCTGTGAACATGGACCCTGCTACAACGGTAAGCTGTTGTCTGCTCGAAGCACGTCACATTTGACCGGTCTGGATAGGGCCCGTGGCATAGGGCAACTTCAAGCTGGTGGTGTTCCAAAGCTGTTATCATGACTGATCATGCTCTTAAGAGTTTCAGAAACCTGTGTCTGAAATTGAAACATCAACATTTTTTAATATGATGTACCTATGGTATTTAATCTTTTTCCATTCAATTTTATTTATATAGTTCCAAATAACAACAGTAGTCTCTGCAAGGCAGTTAATCCTGTGGCAGATGACCTTCTGCCTGATAGACTGCAAAGACCCAAACAGGACCACTTTGATTTAAACATGACTGAACTCAGGACAAATAGATTTTGGTTGGCCAAAAATATGTAAATATAAATCTGTTTCCCTTCTTTCTCACTTCCAGCAAGAGGAATGTTTGCATTTTGTCGTACAATGTTGCCAGATTTAACTGACTGCAATTAACATAGGTGGACGGATATCGGCTGAAAAGCTAAAATGGTATTAAGTCACAACACTTGCTGGCTGTTTACTCATTTATTGCAGACTTAGAGGTCTGCTACAAGATCAGATGAAAGCATCATGCTGACAAACATTAGTACAAAAGAGAACAGAAATAATCTTACAGGAGGAACTAAGTTTTACTCATTGTTGCAACTCTAAAAGACTGCTCCAATCCAACTGTACATTTTTATTTTTATGTCTGACTACACTGCCTTATTTGTAATGGAGTATTATCTTATTGTATTATTAAGAATTTTACATTCCTCTCTGCCAGCTGATGGAAGAGTTTGCTGCTGAACCATAAGCTGAGTAACCACAATCAATAATGTCTTGATGCATGCTCAATCATCCAGGTAAGTAAATGTCCAAAAGTTGATTCTGTTCATCTGGACGTTTTCAGTGGGAGAAACGTTTCGTCATCATCCAGGTGACTTCTTCAGTCTCAGCTGACTGCAGGTTTCCAATCTTATAAACAGTACATTTGCATAATGACTGAAACCAGCCCACTGAAGGAACAATGGGAGGTCAGTTCTTTCATCATAATTATGCAAATAATTCATCAGTGGTCTTTGATCAGTGGGCCTTGATCAATGGTCATGAGAATTCTCATGACCATTATCATGCAAATGATAAAATCAAATAAAATTGGACCTTTGAAATCTACCGTCAACAGTTACTGCAACTATGACAAAGTTCCTGTTGTCCGAAAGTATCTTATAAGACACGGGAATACCGGGATCCTTCAAAGCAGCTTGCCTCAAAGAATGTTACACATCACATCATAAATCCATACACTGCATGCACAATTACTAGGCAAGTGGGTATTTTGGCCATATCATAATTTTATGCATATTTTCCAACTTCAAGCTGTATAAACTTAATGTTGCATATCAGGTGATGTGTATTTGCGTGACGAGTGAGGGTATGGCCTAAGGAGACCGACACTCTATATAAAGGTGTGCATAATTTTCAGGCAGCTTCTCTTCCTCAGGCAAAATGGGCCAAAAAAAGAGATCTAAAGGACTCTGAAAAGCCCCATTGAGAACCTGTGGGCCCTCTACACCTCGCTGAACAGTGTCTTGGAGGCTGTGGCTGCTGCTGCACAAAACATTGATCATCAACAGATCAAGACACTGACAGACTCCATGAATGGAAGGCTTGTGACAGTTATTGAAAAGAAGGGTGGCTATATTAGTCCCTGATTATCATTATTGTTATTTTGGACATGTCAGAAATGTTTATATGTAAATTTTGAGTCGTTTTATTATTCTCACTTTAACAGATGGAAATAAACAGGTGAGATGGAAAAATGTTCGTTTTGTTCATTTAGTTGCATAATAATTCTGCACAATAATAGTTGCCTAATAATTGTGCTCATATATATATTCTCTTATGAAAGACAAAACCTCACTTTTACTGTCTTAAACATTCAGATTTAGAGCACTGTAGCTGTTCAATAATAAAATTAATCCTCAAAAATACACCTTGCCTAATAACTGTACACACAGTGTGGTTCATTAACAAAGAATATCAACTTATAATTCAGCTTTACTTAAAAGGCTTTAATTCCAAATTAGCAACTTTCCCTTTAATATTATCTTGATGTACCTTATGTAGTTAGCAGAGTCTCATTTTCTAAGATAACGGGCTTTTCTGCCAGTGATTGTTCTCTTCTTTTAAAAGGGGAGCGATCACAGTAAAAACAACAGTGGTGTGGACTGCTTGCTGCAACCCATCATTTTGTTCCAGCTGTGCTATTAGTTCTGGCTCTTCATCAGGCTCAGTTTACTCCTCAGGCCCTGGCAGTAGGCTGATAGGCTGCTGTTGTCCTCCAGCAGATTGCTGCGCTCTTGGATGAGTCGAAACGAGGCCTGCTGTTCCATTTCATCCTGCTCCAGTTCAGTCATTAGCTCCTTCCTACATAGAGGGTGGAATGACATGCATAAAGTAAGATCCAAAAAGTATTTAGACAATGCAGTTTTTGTAATTTTGCTTCAGTGCACCACAGTGGACATTCTCTCTGCTGCTGCCTGCTGGTGAGAAACAAATGAACTCAGAATCTCACTTTCTTGCTTGTCTTGTTTAGAGAAACACCAGCTCATTATTGTTCGATTCTTATTGTTGACTCAGTGTGTTTTTAGAGGATGGATTTCTCAGAAAAATGCAATGAATTCAGTGTGTATTTACATTACAAAAATGAATGGAATTTGTTGCATCTACATATAATAGACAACTTGGCAAAGAACCATATTTAAATTTTATATTCAGGCCCTTTGTTACAAGCAGCTTATTGCAAAATCATATTTTTAGCTTGCTCTGAAAAATGCCAAAGACAACACTATGACAGGTAAAAAGTAATAATTTTCTAATAACATGTCATAATTCAGGGTGTAGTGCAGTGTCACTCTAAGAAAATAAAAAGAAACTGGCCAAAAAAAAACCCCAACCCCTAGATGAATTATGAATAGTGTCTCAAAGTCACGTGCTTAAGAAAGAGGCCCTTCAGTTGATCCGTCTACTCTTTGCTGAAGCCTCGTCACAAATGGTCTCAGTGGAAGAGAAACCATTCTTAAAGAATGAAAATGAGGAGAGAAGGCTGAGGTATTCCAAATTATGCAAAAACTGGACTGAAAATTAGTGGCAACAGGAGAGATGAATCCAAATTAGATTTTTTTTTTGTTCAAATCACTGTGAATACAGTGGGATTTAAGAGAGAGTTACAACAGGGCGTGTCTGTAGCCAACTGTAAAACACGAAGGTTGTCACGGCTTTTCAGCTGGTGTTTTAAGATCATGTCAGAGAATGATGAACAGACAGATTTTAATCCACCATGCAATCATTCTGGAAACTAACGGATTGGCAGCAGTTTCAATTTTCAACATGACAATGACCCCAAACACACTGCCAGTTAGAGGTGGGAATCACCATACATCCCACGATACGATATTATCACAATACTTAACACACGATACGATATTATTGCAATTTTTAAAAATATTTTGCGATATTCAGATTCTGTACATAAAGGTAAACTTTATCAATATTCATTTTATCTAATATCAAAGTCTCACACTCAGTCTTTCTCTCATTTCAGTCAGTTTTATTGTTGACAAACTGAACGGTTTGTATTACAGTCTAGTCCAACTTAACTGAATGCAACCATCTGGTACAACTATAGCTATTCTGAACTATGCAATTTATGAAAACTATGCAGCCCATTCAGCAACTGAAGAATTTGAAAGTAAATTAAAACAAAATATAATTTTACAGTAAATAAAAAGGTTTAAACTTAATTAAAATAAAACATGTCTTAAATTTAGTTTATTGCTGCCAAAAAACAAGTTAAACACATTTGGACAGTGAAGGAATGTCAGGATTCTTGCTCAGAAAAAGGATCAACATGCTCTGAAGTCAGAGCACAAAAACCTTTTTTGTAACAAAATATCGATTTCTGCTGTCCCTGTATCGATACATTATTAGCAAACAAAATATCACGATACTACACAGTATCGATTTTTTCCCCCACCCCTACTGCCAGTGCAGTAAAAGCATACATGGATAGAACAACACACAATCTAACACTGTCAACCATGGATTGGCCTCCCCAGAGACCAGACCGCAATATTATTCAAGCAGCATGGGCTCATATTAACATACTACGTATTTTATTGGTTGAGCCCACATGCTAGGATTCACATAAATCATTTTAACATTTTTGTCCATTGGCCTGAAGACCTAAACCCAATAGGAAGTCCACCATTTTTAACTGAAGATTAAATGTTTGCATTGATTTTTCCATTTCCAGGTGCATGATTAAATCATGCACTCTTATCACACATCTTAAGATGTTCACAGTTCTGCTTAAGTTAATATTGTGCATGTGACTTACTTTTTCTGAACAAGGAGAGCAATCTCTGACTGGACTTTGAGGTACTCCTGAGCCATCCTGATATGCTGCTCAAACACAGCCATGGACTCTTTGGAGTTTGGACAAGGAGCCAGAGGCTGAAAACACAGGGACACGCTGTGGTTAATGCAACACTCTACACATGCAGACTTCAGCATAACAGCTGGATGAGAATACTACTATAATGCTCAAAAAAATTAAATCAAATTAAATTAAATTGAAAGAAAGAAACAGTTTTTAATCAGAATACAACATCAAGTCAGTTAAACTTCTAGAATATTGAACTTGTCAGTTTAGTAGCAGAGGGGGTTGTTACTCAGTATCAGCTGTTTTGGTGTTTATGGAGTTAATAACAGGTGCAGTAAAGGGGCAACAATGAGACAACCCTCAAATGGTTTGAATGAATGGTTTTACAGGTTTCCCTCCTCATATTCTCTCTTTTTTTCACTAGTTTTACATTTGGCTGAGTTCAGTGTCACTACTAATTGCATGAGGCAATACCTGGACCCTACTAAGTTGCACAGGTAGTACAACTCCCCAAGTATGTCTAGCAATACATGCAATTTGCAGAAGGTTTGCTGGGTCTCCTAGCAGTCTCAAGAGCATGGAGAAGATTCCAGGAGACAGGCAGTTACTCTAGGAGAGTTAAATAGGGCCATAGAAGGTCCATAACCCATCAGCAGGACTGGTGTCTGCTCCTTTGTCCAAGGAGGAACAGGATGAGCACTGCCAGTCTTACAAAATGACCTTTAGCAAGCCACTGGTGCGAATTTCTATGACCAAACAATCACAGACTTCATGAGGGTGGTCTGAGGGCCTGACGTCCTCTAGTGGGCTCTACGCTCACTGCCCAGCACTGCGGAGCGTAATAAGCATTTGCCACACAATACCAGAAATGGTAGGTCCTCCACTAGCATCCTGTGCATTTCCCAGATAGAAGCAGGTTCAGCCTGACCACATCAGGCAGGCGCAGACTTATTATCAAACCCTGTGCCTATTGATGCAGGTCATTCAGTCTCTGTAGAGCTATAGTGAGAGCTAGATTTCATATCGCCAGCAGTAACTCAGACTCATTTCCAGTGGATGTTGGCTTTCTCTCATTTCCATTCATAATCTTTATATATTTTTCCAGGTAAGTGGTTCTGTTGGCTTTACTGAGTGGTGGCCTGCAGCTTGCACCGGGGCGGTTTACAGCTGACTGTGAATCAGTGTGGATAAAAATTAGCACCTCTAAGTCCAATACCATGATTTTCCGGTAGAAAGAGCAGTGTGGCCAATTCAGACTGACAATCAATTGCTGTGGAGTAGAGTTTGTTAAGCAAATTTATCAGACCATCACCAAGTGAAGTTCATTCAATTAAATCTTATTTATAAAGAGATAATTCACAGTCACCTCAAGGTGTTTGAGATACAGTGTGATTTATACCACGGCTGCCCTTAATTAACAATATTGGTTGTGGTGGGGTGCAGTCTGTGGCTCAGCTGCAGGGGAGGGATGGAGCAGTGGATTCAGGATGTGGTGTCAGGGGAGGCTGACACACACCTGATCTCCATCAGCAAAACACACCTCCCCTTTAAGGATGGTGCCGGGACCAGAGGGGTGGGTGTGTGTGTGTGTGAAGAGCAGCTGAAATGCTACTTGTGCTATGATAAAGTGGGAAATAAAACCTTAGAAATAAAAGATACCAGAAAGTGCAGATCATGTGTGTGGGTCCTCATTCTGGCACATGGTAATTACCATAATCTTTTTTTTTTCTTTTTTACAGCTAGATGGATTGTTGCAGCATCTGAAGTAACGTTTGGATGCATGCTCAATCATCCACGTAGCGTTTTCAGTGGGAGAAACGATTCGTCACTTATCCAGGTGACTTCTTCAGTCTCAGCTGACTGCAGGTTTCCACAATCTTATAAACAGTACATTTGCATAATGACTGAAACCAGCCCACTGAAGGAACAATGGGCTGTTACGTCAGCTCCTTGATCATTAATTTGGAAATTGTCATGACCACCAATCAATAAGCATGAGTCCCAATCACAGAGAGTTGGGGAATGGCTGCAATCACAGCAT